TTAAAACACAATTTCTTTTCTTCAAATTTTTTTTTACCATCAACCCTAATATATTTAAACATATTAAAGACACTGAACCTCTGATGATCGAAGATGCATCTTTCATCGCTGTGGTTGTTGTAGGTTGATCTTGTTTTGCGGAGGTTCCTCCTCCTTTCTTAGGATTTTTAACTTTAAAACTTACTTTAGGATCTGTCTTCAACCGGAGTAGTTGATAATGAAAATTATTTATTTTTCGAATATCAGCTGGAGATGATGCTAATGTAGTATGTAGTAGTAGTAATCTCTAAGGTTTCAGCTGAAGGTGATGCAGTAACTGCTACGGTTGTTTCTCCTTCTTCTTCTTCTCCGCTATCGCACAATGTTGTCGTAATAAAAAGAAAGAAGAGGAAGACCGTTGTACTTGAAATTGTACTAAACATTTTCTTTTATATCGTGATTTACGAACTAGACGAATTAGCAGCGGTTAAAAACGAACTGAATCGGGTCTTTCGAGTGCGGCGGTTGTTGACGCGTTAACGAATCGCAGGAAATATGCGGTAGGAAATGTGCGAAGATTAGATGAGAGGAAACTCGCTCGCAGACGATGTATTAGAATAATACATTTAATAAAAAATAATATATTTAATGAATAAAATAAATTTACCTGACGGACTGTTATATTTTTAAAATTTAATCAATCAGAGCGTTCTCCAAGAACCACCTTTTGGCGGGAAATTTGAATGAGGCTATCTAAATCGACAGGCTCGATGCAAATAATATATATGACGTGTTTTAACTGGAATAAATATGAAATCGGTTCGATTTAAGGAGAAGATTGAGATTTATGAAGTAGAGTGTGATGATATGCATAAAAGAGCAAGAAACGGGCGGGAATGGTTAGAGGCTGCAATTGATAGACAACGATTTCAAAGACGTATTAAAGAAATTGAACGAATTCTTGACAAAATATTGCGTGTAAAATTGTTAAAAATGAATGACTAAATTAAACATAATAAAATACATTGTATTAATTACTTTAGTTTTAATATATAGTTGTATAAAACGTGCATAAGTTAAATGTTATGTATGATTAAATTAAATTCTATCCCCACCACCACCACCACTACTACCACAACAACCAGTCTCATAACCCCATGGAACATACTTACTTATTTACTGAGAATGCTTATCATAAAATACTTGGGAAACGTTGATGCACAACTCACTGATGCACAAAAGAAACGTTTAAACAAAACATATGATATGAAGGAGATAAGTATACTACTAAAATAAGGGTCAGATAACATATTACAAAATTTGTATTATTTAAAAAAATCTACATACTACTACACAATATCTGATTCCTTAATCCAACTTCTTTCATCTACACTGTTGGAAATAATTCACGAGCACACCCTGTATAATCTGAACGCGTGTATCTAGCGCAATAAAATTTGGTATGGAAGTAGTACTAAAGTATTACACTACTTACTTTCACATGGAGAGCGGCACAACTCTGCTGGGAGGAGAAACATTAATAGCGAGAGTATCCCCCGTGAGCTTCGCATACCATCGCTACACGACGTGGCATGGAGTCTATAAGTCGCTGTATTGTAGCAAGAGGGATGGCCAACCATGCCACCTCAACTCGCCTCCATAGCTCCTCAACGTTAGCGGAGGAAGCCGGATAACGTAGAAGTCTCCGACCAATCATTTCCCAAACATGTTCGATCGGATCCAGATGCGGAAACCGAACTAGTCANAGAATGTGTGTTGCACAACAACAACAATAACTTAAACGTTTATACGTAATTAGACGAATATAAAGTTGTTATACAATGCAAATAATATATTATGCATTTTATTTTCTCGAATCTTCGCCGCACCTTGATTTATTGACAGTGTATGCAAATAGAAATGCAAATGAAAATAGAAATTTAAAATGCAATAAAATAAAGTTGACTATAATACAATGTATGACGTGTTTTAACTGGAATAAATATGAAATCGGTTCGATTTAAGGAAGAGATTGAGATTTATGAAGTAGAGTGTGATGATGTACATAAAAGAGCAAGAAGTGGACGGGAATGGTTAGAGGCGGTAATTGATAGACAACGATTTCAAAGACGTATTAAAGAAATTGAACGAATTCTTGACAAAATATTGCGTGAAAAATTGTTAAAAATGAATGAATAAATTAAACATAATAAAATACATTGTATTAATTATTTTAGTTTTAATATATAGTTGTATAAAACGTGCATATAAGTTAAATGTTATGTATGGTTGAATTAAATTCTATCCCCACCACCACCACCACTACTACTACAACAACCAGTCTCATAACCCCATGGAACATACTTACTTATTTACTGAGAATGCTTATCGCAAAATACTTGGGAAACGTTGATGCACAAAAGAAATGTTTAAACAAAATATATGATTTGAAGGAGATAAGTATACTACTAAAATAAGGGTCAGATAACATATTACAAAAATTGTTTTATTTAAAAAAATCTAAATACTACTACACAATATCTGATTTCTTAATCCAACTTCTTTCATCTATTCCAAACCACTTGACGTACATTCTGTTTCCTTTCCGTTTTAGAATCTTTTCAATCAACTGTATGTCAGGATAATGAGTCCGTTGTAATTCTTCAGTGTAGAAAGCTCCTTTAATGTTATCACCTTTCAAATCTTGTAATAAATACGTCACTGGATTACTATATTGAATCTTAACAATTTTAAAAACTTCATTGCTCCAGTTAGGAGTATACCCTTTGGTGAACACACCACGATGTTTCGATATTCTTACAGTCATTCTAATGAAATTTTATGGGTAATGTTTGATTTTGATAATGTATTTTCCTATTATAAACAGTACGCAATAGCTTTTCCTCACCCGGCTCTATTGGTTTCATACCTGTAGTGGAATGCTTGCGGGTATAGTATGTTAATAAAATTTGCAGTAATAAATTTAACCACTTAAAAGATCCCTGCACACTAAATTCTTTCCACATTAAACTTTTTAAAGTTCTATTTAAACGTTCAACGATAGATGCTTTTAATGAGCTAAACGTAGAGTAATGATTAATTTACTCATAAGTGAGATAAAAACTTTATTATAAAACTCTTTTCCTTGATCGGTTTGAAGGTTTTTTGGTACGTTTGCATCCTTTAAACTACTTTTCATTGCTTTAGTAACATCTTTACCCGATGTAGTCTTTACCGGAACAGCCCATGCATATTTGCTAAAGACATCAATTACAACGAGTATATAACGATAACCACTATTTTGTCGTGCATAAGGTATCATCTCTACTAAATCAGCCTGGTATAAATCATTTATCCCTTTAGTAAGTACATGTCTTCTTTTAAAATGTATTCGAGCAGGTTTATGAAGTTCTTCAGCTAATTTTCTTTTAATATCAGAGGACATGTTAGTACGATTTCTACAAACAGTGTATTAATCGTCGCAGTAGGAGATGGAATGAATTTTAATCTGTCACCTTTCTTCAATTTGATACCCTTCCCATTTGAGCTATCATAAATCCTATTGTTTACTATAAGAGTGGTGTCCGATGGCACAATGGTGATAGAGTAAATTTCTCCTGATTCAATAGGAAAAATATAATATCTGTTGAAATTACTCAGCGCATAACTATGTCCAGCTTTCGCACCAGTCAAAGTAATATTCAAATAAGAATAATATTTATGTTCTATTGAGGAGGAGGAAGAAGAAGAAGAAGAAGAGCCGAAAATAGAAGTCGTTCCAGATGATCCAAAGC